AGTCCTTCTTTTCTATCACATATTAAAACTGAAAGACAAGCCCTGGCCAGTGTTGCTCACTGGTTAGAGTGTCAGCCTGTGGACCAAAGAGTTGTGAGTTTGATTCTGAGTTGTGGGTTCAATTCTAGTCAAGGGCACATACCTCAGCTGTCGTTTGGTCCCTGGCCCTGGTGCTAGAGGCAACCAGTCAATGTGTGTGTCTCACATCGTTTCGCTCTCTCTCTCTCTCTCTCTCTGAGGATTAAAAAATAGAAAGACATCTGGCCCCACCCTGGCTTCTTCCACCTTACAAAGGTACACCTTTGACCTTGAAGTATTCTAATCTGAATTTTACAAATAAATTGCAAATGTATTACTAGTTGACGACTTTAAGGTTCATACATGTATTTTATTAAAGAATTTTTAGCCTGGCCGGGTATCTCAGTTAGAGCATTGTCCTGATACACCAAGATTGTGGGTTCAATCCCCATTCGGGGCACATAAAAGAATCAACCAATGATTGCATAAATAAATGGAATAATGAATCAATGTCTCTCAAAAAAAATCATAAAATTAAAATAAAAAAAAAACTATTCAAATAGACGCAGGTCTGTATAAAGCAATGCGGAAGGCCCTGGCTCATGGCTTAGTTGGTTGGAGCATCACCTCATGTACCAGAAGGTTGTGAGTTCAATCACTGGTCGGGGCATGTGCAGGAGGCAACCTATAGACGTTTCTCATGTCAGTGCTTCTCTCTCCCTTCCTCCGTCTCTAAAATAAAATAAAAAGCAATGGGAAGGGGGCTTAGAGAAAGAAACTGCTTATGGGGATTGAGGCGGCATCTAAGAATTCTCCTGAGTCCTGTGGAGACGGATGTGACTTCACTTGGCTGAACAACTGATGAGTTTTAGGTTACTGACTAAAGACTGAACCATATGATGTAGGCTAGCTCTCCAGGCTGAGAAGTGGGGTGGGCAGAGCCGGATGGGCCTTACCTACCAGCAACATGGATGTCTGAGATAGAGGCCTAGACCCAGGTTGTGTGGTCTATTTAGAAAGAGAGCTCCTGTGAGGATCCCAGAGCCCGAGATTAGGAAAGGAAGTTAAGACCTTGCATTCAGATGGTACTCATACTGTCTCCAATGCCAAAGGAACCCAAAGGAGGCTGAACATATTTAAGACTTTGTCATCCAAGTTAAAACAGACATGAGTTGTCCGGCCGGTGTGGCTGACTGTTGACCCATGCACCAAGAGGTCACCAGTTTGATTCCCAGTCAGGGCACATGCCCAGGTTGTGGGCGCAATCCCCAGTTGGGGGCATGCAGGAGGCGGCCAATCGATATTCTCTCTCATTGATGTTTCTGTCTCCCTCTCAAAAAAAAATCAGTGAAGCCCTGGCCAGTTTGACTCAGCAGTTGGAGCGTCAGTCTGCGGTCCAGAGAGGCATCAAGTGGCTGCCACCTGCACGATCAACTGGGGCCGTGGACAAACTGCAACCGAGGTACGCGCCCTTAGCGGGAACCGAACCCGGGTCTCTCTGGACCACAGGCTGATGCTCTAACTGCTGAGCCAAACCGGCCAGGGCTAAAATGGAGACTTTTTTAAAACCACATTTCCTTATGACTCTGCCAGGGATGCAGCAAAGGCCGCCTTCTCCAGAGGCTTGAGAAACTGCCTATCTGAGCCAGTCTTTGAGGCCATGCCTCACCTACACACCCTCTCCACTCCACCTCCACGCAGCTCTGAGGCATTAATGTGGGGACTATTCCTCATGGACCTGAAGATTTTGCTAGCCTAGTCTTGTCAGTTGAAAGAAGGGTTCAGCCCTACTTTTTGTCCTGTGTGTACAAGATACAAAGCTCTAGGGTATCATAGTTCCTTCCCAAGTAGTTCTTGGAGTGGGGGTAAACACTGGTACACTATTTGCCCTCGTCTCCCCCACTCTCAAGTAGAAAGTTAACCTCTTTCCAGACTGTAATTGAATTCCACCGAAAACCTGCACCCACCTTCCCCGGGACTGGGAAAATCATCATTCAGTCTGTTTATGAAGCTCAGTGATAGGAAGTTCTAAACCATACCAGGCAGGAATGAACCAGAGCACCTAAAGCCACTGCAGACTGCTTCTGTGTGCTGCCCCAGGGGAGGGCAAAAGGGTGGTAGCAGGGGCTTCTGCCTCTCTTGACCTGAGCATCCTGGGTCGCCCTTGCCACTCTCGTGTACTCCATGTAGCTCTGCCTTCCAAAGTACTCCAGGCTTTTGGAGATCATTGTCAATGCCCGAAACCTCAGATGTGGAGTGAGGACAAGAACCTGGGTGTCTCAGGTTACCCAGTTGCCCTTCATTGCTGGGGACCCTAATTGAGGCCTCAACCATGGGGGTCTTTGCTTCTAACAGCTCTGGCTAGGTGACTCACATAATAAGTAACTGAGGAACATGGCTCTGCACCGGCTTCCTTGGTAACTCAGATGCATCCCTGCCCCCACTGTCTTATGAAGTGTCATGGCATTTCTGTCTTTGGCACTGTTTGACCTCAAGAAGTGTGCCATCTGTTAGGGAAGATTGAGCTGATAAAAAATTAAAAGATTCATTATCCAAAAAGAACTGGGACCTGAGAGTCTTTTAGAGTTAACCCACTTAAAAGGGAGACCATAGTTTCCATAGTAGAGAGTAGAAAAGATTTGCCTAGAACTTTATCTTGCAAAATGAAACTGTTACTAAAACAAGTATCTGTTAACAAAATGTAATTGCAACTATAGGCTCTTTTAGAACAAAATAATATTTTACATATATTTCCCTCCCACAATTATATAATCGCACAATAGGACATCATTTCATGTTTCATTTGCACAGTGCAATCAATCAGGATCATTGCTGCAAAAGTTAGTCCCTTCCTCACTTTTCCTGAGGGTCTCTTAATCCTTTAGCCCTTTGATCTTCTTCTTTTTTTGCTTTATTGGTTTTAGAAAGAGGAAGGGGGAGAGAAGGGAGGGAAGGGGGAGGAGGGGGGGGACAGAGAGAGAGAGAAACATTGATGAGAGAGGACATCGACTGGCCACCTCCTGCATGCCCCCTTCTGGGGATTTGGCCAACTTGGGCATGTGCCCTGACTGGGATTCGAACAGGCAACCTCTTGGTGCATGGGTCGATGTTCAACCACTGAGCCACACCAGCTGGGCTAGCCCTTTGATATTCAAATCATCCCCTATGAAGCACCTAAATTGGTTATATGCAGCTATGTTCTTTACTTGTTAATGGATCTAATTCAGATCCTATTTGCCAGTGACTACTCAACTGAGCATCATTTTTCCAACAATACTTTCTTTCATGACTATGAAACTCTATGTTTGTTTTGTTTTTTGTTTTGTTTTTTTTTTTTTTTATCCTCACCCGAGGATATTTTTCCATTTTTTGTACAGATAGAGTGGGAGGAAGAGAGAGAGAGAGAGAGAAACATCGACGTGAAGGGACACATCGAGTGGCTGCCACCCACACGACCAACCAGGGCCGGGGACAAACTGCAACCGAAGTACGTGCCCTTAGCGGGAACCGAACCCGGGTCTCTCCGGACCGCAGGGCGACGCTCTAACTGCTGAGCCAAACCGGCCAGGGCGAAACTCTATGTTTTGAAAAACTTAAATTGTACTTTGGCACCTATTTTGTGTTTTCAATGTCAGAAGTTTACAACGTCTCACAATCTGTAAGAGGGAAGAGATGGGCTATGATGATTAGAGGATGAATATGTCTAAGTGGAAAGTAATTTTATTTTATTTTTTTGTTAATCCTTACCCAAGGATTTTTAGATAAAGTGGAAGGGAGGGGTGGGGGTGGGGTGAGAGAGAGACACTTTGATGTGAGAGAGACACACTGATGGGTTACCTCTTGCATGACCCCGACTAGGGCTGTGGCTAGACCCCGAAACCTAGGTACATGCCCTTGACCAGGAATCAAACCCGAGACCATTTGGTACGAGGGCCAATGCTCGTTAATCCCTGAGCCAAACTGGCCAGGGCTGGAAAGTGATTTTATAATTGGTCAGTTGTTTGGAAAATACTTTTCATTTCTGATGACTTGAGCTTTCCTCCACAACCTAATAATGGCTACAGTAACTTGGATACTGACTAGTTAAATGTGGCTCAGAGAAAAAAAGAAAGCTCATTGACATGACTGAGCAGGGAGTCTGCCCTTGAGGGACAGTGGTGACTTCTACTGGTGACACTGGGTTAGCGTGAGCCAAGGCAGGAAGGTTTGGGGAACTGAGCTGGCATGCATGGGTTAGTGAATGAGGGAAGGCAGGAAATATTTGTTAGAAGTCAAGCAAAAAAAGTTTATTTCGGGCCAACTATTGGTCTCAATTCTATAGCTATTTAAGGTTTTGAAACAGAATTAAACATGATAATAATTAGGATATATTACAGGCCACACACTGTTTAAGTACTTTCCATAAATTAATATATTTAATTCTCTTACAAATCTGGTGAGGTCAATATTATTATATTCTCCTTTGAAAATAAGGCGACTGAGCAGAACTGTATTAAATTATGCATGAAGCAGTCCACATTGCAAGAGGGAATTAGCTACCCACTAAAATCTACCAAGTTTCTTAGGAGGAGCTCCCTCACTCGACTATAATGCTTCCACATTTAGCACAGGGACAGATCTGCATTTCAGACCAATTGGCAGCAGACACTATCAGGTGAGACAACTCTCAGCCTGAAGAAACTAGAAATTGATGTCTGCCTAGGAGAGTGCCTATGCATGCATAGCTTGTGTTGCCCTGGTTCAGGGATTGTAGGACTTGTGTTCTAACCCCTTGATCACTTATTTAGGGTATGGCCTTGACCACCCTACTCTGCCTTAATTTCTCATCTGTGGGGATATTTGTCCAGTCAATCCACAAGACTGTTGAGAATCCAGTAAGGAAATAGATCATGTTTTACAAAGTCTAGTTGCCCTGCAGTGTAAGGGGTGGCATCCTACCAAAGCTTGCACTTGACTGTCTACCCTGACTCCCTACAACTTACCTAGTTCCCAGTGTAGTCTCAAGTTGGAGGAGGCAGAAATCCTGCTTGTTTTCCACGCAGCCTTCCCTGCACCACAGCAGTGGCACTCCCCTTACCTGTAGCTGCCAAACCGGAGAGAGAGCGGGGAATTACGTCAGGTCTTTCAGGGATAGTATATACTCCCAGCCATCTCTAGCCAGGACCAATGAGGAATACTTCCGATTCAGCCACTATGGCTGGAGTGTTGCAAGGGACAGGTTTTCTGGCTAGGGAGGGGAGCTCTGCCCTAGGCTGCTGGGAGTCTCCAAGACATGGGCTCCATGGGGTAATCTCGCTTCCAGCACAGGTGAGGGCTGGGCAAGTAGTCACCAGTGCTGGCCCCTTCCCTTCAGGGCTCTGACTGCCTTACCTCCATCTGGCTAGTATCTGCATGTGGAGTGGGTGATCTATGAGCTTTCCAAAGACAAATCTTTTGATTTATGCCCATTCTGGGAAAGGAGAGGCACCAGAAATGACTGCTTGGCCATTTTGTGGTGTTTCCTCTACCCCCTAAGGCAGTATTTTGCTGTAAGCTGCTGTGCCTGGTCTCTCAATGCACACAGAGCTAGCCCTGTGGGGCCATGGGAGCAGAGAAGAGGTATCAGACAGCATACCTGGAAAGTGGTTAAGTCTGATCCCAAGCCTGCTAAACCCAGTCATAACTTTGGGCAGGCAGAACTCTTGCCCTCAAGAGGGGAAACACACCTCTATAGTCTCAGAGTAGGTGCAAACTTCAAAGAAGCCCTCCTGTGCTCTTTCCTCTATGGTACTCTAATCCTGCTCTGCATGCTAGTAGCCCTGTCTGACCAGAGAATCCCTCCACCTACCAGTCCCCCATGCCCAGAGCTGCTTCTGCTTCCCCTTCCTCACAAACTCCCATGGCATCTGCAAGCCATCCCCGACAGCCTCACACTAAGGCATGAAAAATACACAAGCCAGAAACAGCAAAAATGTCCATTAACAAGATGAGATAAACAACAACTGTGAAACATTCATTCACAGAATATAACATAGTAACAGATTAATAAACTAATTATACATAGCACACAATCACATGGATGAATCTCACAAAATATTGAATGGAAAAAAGAATAAAATTACGTGCAAGCCTGGCTGGTGTGGCTCAGTGGATTGAGTCAGTAACATATTTTTTAAAAAATGACATGCAATATGATTGCATTCTTTCGAAGTTCAAAACCTGCCCAGCTGCTGTGGCTCAGTGGTTGCGCATCAACCCATGTGCCAAGAGGTTGCTTGGTTCGATTCCTGGTCGGGGCACATGCCCAGATTGTGGGCCAAATTCCCAGTGGGGGAACATGCAGGAGGCAGCCAATCAATGTTCTCTCTCATCGATGTCTCTGTCTCTCTCCCTCTTCCTTCCCCTCTCTCTCAAAATCAATAAAGAAGCCCTGGCCAGTTTGGCTCAGCTGTTAGAGCATTGGCCTGCGGTCTAGAGAGACCTGGGTTCGCTTCCCACTAAGGGCATGTACCTCGGCTGCAATTTGTCCCTGGTCCTGGTTGGGTCATGTGGGTGGCAGTCACTCGCTGTGTTTCTTTCACGTTGGTGTTTCTCTCTCTCTCTCTCCCTCTTTCTCCCTCCTGCTCTATCTGAATAAAAAATGGAAAAAATGTCCTCAGGTGAGGATAAAAAAAAAAAAGTTCAAAACCAGGCAAAACAAAACTACTATATATTTCAGAATGCAAAGACATGGTAAGTATACAAGCCAGGGTCCTGGTCCTCTATAGGGGATGGAGCAAGCAGGTTGGGTAGGCTACGTGGGCTTCAGAGTGCTAGTGAGGTTCCAGGACGGAGTGGTGGGTTTCACGGATGCTCATCTTATAATTCATCAACCTCTACAGATGTTTTATGTGCTTTTCTATATGTATGTTATTTCACAAAGCTAACAAAGAAACCAGCCCTTGCCCTGGCCGGTTTGGCTCAGTGGTTAGAGTGTCGGTCTGCGGTCCGGAGAGACTTGGGTTTGGTTCCCGCTAAGGGCATGTGCCTTGGTTGCAGTTTGTCCCCAGCCATGGTTGGTCATGCGGTGACAGCCACTCGATGTGTCCCTTTCACATCGATGTGTGTCTCTCTCTCTCTTCCTCTCTCTCCCTCCCACTCAATCTGAACAAAAAAATGGAAAAATGTCCTCGGGTGAGGATTTAAAAAATAAAAAGAAACCAGCCCTCCCCATGCCCTTCTTTGGGCTTCTCAGGGTGCTGGGCCCTTAGTGTGCACATCTCTCATATAGTTGGCCTAGTGTGGAACACTGAGCAGGGAGCTGCTGAGGCCTGAAGAGAAAGGAGTTGGCCTAACTGCTCAGGTGGCTCTGGTTTAATGGACTAGGGAGTTCTACCTTTATTCCTCCTCATGGAGTGTCCTCTTCCCCTAGTTCTGTCACATTTGCCCCAGTCCCACTGCATTCTCAAGGAAGTTTGGCTATGCTGACCTGGAGCACCTGGTTTCCTGGCTGCTGTCAGGCTTGCCTTGGGTGGGCCTTACCTGAACTAAGTCTGTTTCTTATGGAAGGGATCTGCTATAATGAAAACCCAGTGCCCTAGGTTTTATTTAAATCTGGTGGGATACTCTTGGTCTCCACTGTTTATGTTAATTGGTCATCTTTCCCCTTACAGTTGGGGGGCGGGAGGACATTATATGGACCCAATGCCTGAGAACCTTTTATTATGTTTGAGGACACCATTCAAATAGCAAAATATGAGTTCCTACTCCATGTCAGGCACCTCATTAGGAAGAGAAAGCCAGGATCTTTGTCCTCATGGAGAAGATTGTTGAGAGAAGACTTAAGTGTGATGAATGCTGCACAGCAGACTGGTGGTCTGTGGGAACTGGCACTGACTCCTGTGGCAAGTCAGAAGAGGGGTCTCTAAGAAAGTAATGCATAAACTAAGGCCTGAAGGATGAAGAAGGAAAGAGGGGAAAGACGCTAATTCATTGAGTGCATACTGTGTGCTAAGCCACTTGCATTGTTTCATTTAGTTCTAACAATAACCCTTTAAGATAGGTATAATTACCCCACTTTACAGATGAGAAAACTGAGGCTCAGAAAGGTGAAGAGACCAACCCAAGGACACCCAGTTAACATGTGGCAGAAGGAAGACCTAAACTCTAGCTTGCATGATTCAAACGCCAGTCAGGGAGGAGGCTGTTGTCATAGTAATGGCCAGAAATGCTGGGTGATAATGTCAGTAGAGAAGGTGCAGGCTCAAAAGGGACACTGAAAGTAGAATTGATGGTACTTAACTGAGCAGTGGTGAGGTCAAGGAGGAGGAATCAGTCAAAGACAAATCCTGGTTTCTGCTTTAATCTACCCAGCTGGATAATTTACTGAAATGGAGAAAAGGTTTAGAGGGGAAAAAATCATCTGATAAATTCTACTTCAGTTTAAAAAAAAAAAAGCTTGATTAAATGAAAACAAAACAGATAATTCCATGCCCAGAAACTATTCCCTCTTCATACCTCCTCAATCCCAACCAAGCAGATCAGGACTGAGAGGATCATGAGAACACTGTCCTTGGCCACACCATCCACTCACTCAAAAGTGGCTACCCAGTGCTTTTTCGGGGTTTTTCCTGACCTTCTCCCTTCTCTGCAGAGGCTCTGCCAGCAGAGGAGCTGCTCATGTGCCTGAGCTCCTTGGGGTTGAATCCTCCTTCTCCAGTAGTCAGACCATTTTGTGTGTGAGCAGCCTCTGTAGTCGCACAGGGCCCATGCTCAGAAGGGGCCTGCCCTTGGTTTAATGCTCTTCATTTTGTACTTGGTCATGCAACTTATGTAGCTAGTCCCATACATATGTCTGCAACATAATGATGCAAGATAGTGGCAGCTTATCCCATCTGGGAATGAACCTCATTTCTAACTAGGAAGACCCACTGCTTTAAATCAGAGGGAGATAAAGCAAAAAATAGCACTCTTCCTTTGTTTCTATCAAATACACAGTTTTATGTGCAGTTTTATGTTTCTCCCTGGGTAATAACTTAGGAGGGAACCTTGAGAATAGAATACAGAAATAACAAATTATGGGCCATTAACTTTGGTTAATTGTTTCTTTATAGCTTAGAGTGAAGGCATAGTCTGAGTTGCTCTGGCACTCACAGTTACAAGTAGGGATGTAGCTTTGCTTAAATACAACCCAAGGTCCCCTCAGGAGGTGGAGAGAAAAACAACTGAGTAATCTTGGCCTGGTTTCTGAAGTCAAAACTGCCACCAAGATCTTACCTCCAGTTAGAGTATGTTCTTTCACAAGCCTAATCACTGTGCAATTAGGGACCCCTTATGCAAGATTCCCTCAGCTCTGCAGGTTTGAAGGTGGCCTGGGTGTTGTCTAGGCATCCTGCTGCAGCAGCCTTCGGGGTATAACTCACACTTGTACCCCAAGTCAGTCTCATCTGCCACTCAGGCTCCAAACAGCTCCAAATCCTTGCTCACTTCAGTAAACACCTGTTAAAAAAAACTGAACAAAAAAAAATGTTTGGATTCCTTGCTAAAAAAAAAGATGCAGAAATGCTCCACTGCCTATTATCTAATAGCTCTTTGCATCTTAGTGAGTAATGGATAAAACACTATGACCGCTAAGTGGAAAGTCCTCCCAGTGTTATTCACTTACAGTAGTAATATCAAAGACTCAGTAAGTATGGTACCCAGAAAATACAATCAACCCAAAGAGATTGTTGAAGGTTTTTTAGAATGTACTAGGTCATCCCATTTATTCTCCACTGAGCTGATCTGTAACTACTGTCCTGCCTTGAAAGCTTGGCTCACTTCCCTCCATTCACAAAATCCAACCTGAATTCCCTAGTCTGACATCTGCAGACTTCCCATTCTGACATCAACTGGCCTTTCCATTTCCATGTTCCCCGAGCCCGCATCCCAGCTATGTTAGGTTATTCTTTTTTTAAACCAACCACATCACACCACCTATTGAAGCAAAACATGCTAGGTTATTCTTTATCCCTTGTAATTTCTCCTCTTTACTCTTCTCGTCTGTATCCTCCCCCACAACTTTCACATTTCTATTTATTGAGTACCTATCCTTGTTGGGCTTAGGGGATACAAATGGAAGAAAAAGGCCCAGTCCCCATCTTTGGAGGCTACCAGTCTAGTGAATCTATGTATTCAAACCTTCATGGCAAACTGTGAAAAGGACTGTGAAGGGAAATAACGGGGCGCCAAGTGCCCACATCAGAGTTTGGTTGAATTTGGACACCAAGAAAACTTTCTTTGATGAGAAAACTTTTCTTTGAAAAAAACAGAGGTGGTAACTAGGCACCAACTATGAGGCAGGGGAGGCTGTGAGGAGGGCACACCCCAGGTCATGAAAGTAAGGGCAGGGACCCTGGAGGGGGGGCAGTGAAAGACCAGGTAGGCTGGAGTGCAGAGGACAAGGAAAGATGTGAGCTCAGGTCAGATAAGCTGAGTCTAAGGTTAAAGAGTGTGGTCTTTATCCCTACAGCCACAGGAAACCTTTGAAGATTTTTCAGTAAGGAGTAACATCAGAGTTGTGTTTTTGAGAAGGGAATTCTGAAAAAGGTACAGGGCACTTGCAGGGAGATCAGGTACAAGGTCATTATGCTCATGGTAAGAAGGAAGGAATGGTACAATAAAGAGTGTTTAGGCCCTGACTGGTTTGACTCAGCAGTTAGCGCAGAGGCCCTCAGACCGAAGGGTCATGGGTTTGATTCCCGGTCAAGGGCATGTACCTGGGTTGCAGGCTTGATCCTTGCTCTGGTCAGGGTCGTGCAGGAGGCAACCAATCGATGTGTCTCTCTCACACTGGTGTTTCTCTCTCTCTCTCCCTTCCTCCCTCCCTTCCACTCTATCGAAAAATCAATGGAAAAATATCCTCGGGTTAGGATTAACAAAAACAATAATTATTTTTCCTAATATCCATGCAATTCAGTATTAGGAAAATAAAAAGCTTGTATTGAACCCCTGTTTTGCAGCTTGAAGATCAGTTCTCCTATTTCATAATTTAAAATAACTTTTGGAGAAAAAAGTCATATACATAAAATATGTTATCATTTAAAGAAAGACTGAAAATGTCTGAGACTTACATAGAGACTGTAACCAAGAACAAAGGGCCTAAGTAATCCAGAGAATTACAAAATAATTTTTAAAAGAATATCACTGGGTATTAGTTTATAATTATTCTGAAAACAGGTAGCTGCCTCTGGGAATGTGAGGGGACAGGGATTGAGCAAGAAGGGCTATAAGAGAACTCTCTGAGGTGATAGTCATATTTTATAATTCAATACAAGATACATATGTGAGCATGTTTGTTGAAAATCATCAAATAGTGCAATTATAATTTGTCCACTTCATTATATGTTTGTTTGTTTTTACAAACAGTAGCCTTTGTTTTCTGCAAACAGCTCATTCTCTTGACTTGATTAATTTTTTAAAGACTTAATTTTTTTTAAGAACAGTTTTAGGATCACAGCAAAATTGAGAGGAAGATACAGAGATTTCCCATATCCTCTCTGCCCTCTTACATGCACATCCACCCCTCTTACAACATCACTCACCGAAGTGGTACATTTGTTACAATTGATGAACCTACATTGACACATCATAATCACCCAAAGTCTATGATTTACATTAGAGTTCACTATTGGTGCTGTACATCCTGTGGATTTGGACAAATGTATAATGACGTGTATCTACCATACAGTATCATACAGACTATTTTCAACGCCCTAAAAATCTGTGTTTTTGCCAATCAGTTCATCACCACTCTCCACCACACCAACCCCTGGCAAACACTGATCTTTTCACTGTCTCCATAGTTTAGTGTTTTCAAGAATGTCATATAGTTGGAATCATACCCTTTGTAGCTTATTTATGTTAAAGGCTGATTTTATTGATTTTTATTTTTTTTTAGAGAGAGAAACATCAATGTGAGAGAGAAACAGATCAGTTGCCTCCTGCATGACCCCTACTAGGGATTGAGCCGGCAACCTGGGCATATGCCCTGACTAGGAATCGAACCGAGACCTCTCAGTCCGTGGGATGATGCTCAATCCCCTCAGCCACACTGGCTGGGTCCTTTGTAACTTTTTTAGATTGGTTTCTCTTCATAATACTCATTTAAAGTTCTTCCATGTCTTTTCATGGCTTGATAGCTCATTTCGTTTTAGTGCTAAATAATATCCCATTGTCTTGATGCACCACAGATCATTTATCCATTTACCTACTGAAGGGTATCTTGGGTGGTTCCAAGTTTCAGCAATTATGAATAAAGCTGCTTATAAACATCTAGCCCTGGCCAGTTTGGCTCAGCGGTTGGAGCGTCGGCCTGTGGACCAGAGAGTCCTGGGTTCGGTTCCCGCTAGGGGCATGTACCAAAACAAAAAAACATCTATGTGCAGGTTTTTGTTTGGAGGTAAGTTTTCAACCCCTCTGGGTAAACTGTATATATACCTTAAAAAACCCTATAACAAATATTAAACTCTAGTTAAACATATGGATCATGAAGTTTTCAGGTATAAAGGTAGTTATGTCTGCAACTTACTCTGAAATGCACCAAAATATAAGATGATTTATGAATGGACAGAGGGTAGATAGGTATATGTAATAAAGCAACTATAGTAAAATTTAAGTTGTAACATCTAGATGGTGAGTGTGTGGTATTTACCATATATAATTCTTTCAACTTTCTTATATGTTTGAAAACTTTCAGCCCTGGCCAGTTTGGCTCAGTGGTTAGAGCGGCGGCCCACAGACCAGGGAGTCCCAGGTCCAGTTCCCACTAAGGGCGTGTACCTCAATTGTGGTTTGTCCCTGGCCCCGGTTGGGGTTGTGCAGGTAGCAACCAGGCGATGTGTCTCTCTCACATCGATGTTTCTCTCTTTCTTCCTCTCTCCCTCCTGCTCTATCTGAAGATAAATGCAAAAAAATGTCCTCAGGTGAGGATAAAAGAAAACTTTCATAATAAAATGTTGGAAAAAATTATTCTGAAGCATATATCCCATTCTCTCACATTAGATACATTTCAGAAAGACAACCAGTACCTTGTTTACAGTCATCTGGCAGTTCCCAGTAGTACAGTCCTAAATTATAGCTAAAGATACACCAAGAAGAAAGGATGTGCCATGCCAAGGTAATTAAAGCAGCCCTGCCTCTGGAAAGGACAGTAAGGTGAACTGGGTTGAGAAAGCTGAGGTTATTCAGTCACTGTCCAAGGTGCTTCTCATAGAGTTCCAGGGGTACCTGTTAGTTGAAAGATGAAACAAAGACTAATTTTAACAGCAAATTATGATAATAATTATGATAAGAGGGTGGAGAACGATCAAGTTCACCTTGATTTTTTTTTTTGTTATCCTCATCTGAGGACATTTTTGCATTCATCTTCAGATAAAGCGAGAGAGGGAGAGGGAGGAAGAGAGAGAAACATCAGTGTGAGAAAGACACATCAACTGGCTGCCACCCACACGACCCCAACCTGGGCCAGGGACACACTGCAACTGAGGTACATGCCCTTCGTGGGAACCAAACCCGGGTCTCTCTGGACATGGGCTGACGCTCTCACCGCTGAGCCAAATTGGCCAATCCCAAGTTCACCTTGAAATGGAAGAAAGGGAGGAAGGGAGAGAGAGAAACATCAATCGGTTAACTCCCACTGACCAAACCCAAACTTGGGCATTTGCCCAGACCAGGAATCAAACTGGTGACGTTTTGGTGCACAGAACAACACTTAGTCAACTGATCCACACCGGCCAAAGCTGTATGTATATTTTTTCTAAGAAAAAGCTTCACAGCTTTCATCAGATTATCAAAGATCCCAAAACTCAAAAAGTTTAAAGCCCTGGCCATGTAGTTCAGTTGGTTAGGGATTGTCCTGATATGCCAAGGCTGTGGGTTTGATCCCCAGTCAGGGCACATACAAGATGCAACCAATGAATCCATAAATAAGTGCAATAACAAATTGATGTTTCTCTCTTTAATAAAAATAAAAAGAATTTAGAATAATGTCAGCAAGATGGAGAAATAGGAAACCCAGATCTTGTTCCCCCAGAGAGTCACAGATTTAACATCAATTTGTGGTGCAAAGAGCCTTTATGAGAACTCTATAACCAGTTAAGAAGTTGTAGTACTCCAGGCAAGCACAAAGCCAAAGACAGCTGCATTGAGCATGTAAGAAAAACTGTTGCATTTCACCCACGATAGCCCTTATTCAAAGTCAGCACAGCTCAGTGTGATCAGGAGAAAACGCCCAATTCGCAGGTTATCCCTTGGGAGGCAGACAAGTAGAAAGTATGTCCAATGTTCTGGCTTTGGGGAGAGACTAACCAAGAGACTGGTTTCTGTTTTGCCTGATTTGGAGTGCATATAAGGATCTGGCATATCTGGGATGCCTGGTAGCCACTGAAAAAAGAGAACTCAGTGGGCTGTTGCAGCATTGGAGAACCTGTGGTACCACAGACAGACACCAGAAGGAGGAAGAAATTATAAGATCCTGAGAAACAGCCACATTTCTCTAATTGGGAAATTACAAACTGAATAAGCTCAGAGAAATGCACTCCAGAAAAGGTGTGAGAAGTCTCCAGTATCTTTACCTGGGCTGATTAGTGAATGTCTTTCCCTGTATGAAGCCAGTCCATAAAGACTGGGAGAGGTAGTTGTTTTATCAAATGCCCAACTACCAACAAAAAATAACAAGACATATGAAGAAACAGGGAAATGTGGCCCTATCAAATAAATCTCCAGAAGCCAATGCTAAAAAAATTATCTATAAATTAGCTGTCAAAGAATTCAATAATTATCTCAATGAGCTACAAGAAAACACAGCTACACAACTAAATGAAATCAGGAAAATAATGTATGAATAAAATTGGAATGTTAAAAACAAGGAGAGAAAAACTCTAAAAAAAAAAAATTTTTTTTGAGCTAAAGACTACAATAACTGAAGTGAAAAATTCACTGGAAGAGTTTAGTAATAGTCTTGATCAAGCAGAAGAAAGCATCAGAAAACTTGAAGATAGAAATTATTGAGTCAGAGGAACAAAAAAATGAAGGAGAAAAAAAAAACAGGAGTGAAGAAAGTTTAAGAGACTTATGGGAACACTAATAAGAGAACTAATATACATTTTGAGAGTCCCAGAAGGAGAAGAGATAAAAGGACAGAGTTTATCTGAAGAAATAATGGCTGACAATTTTCCAAGTCAATGGACATGTAAAGTCAAGAAGGTCAAAAGACTCCAACAAATATGAACCCAAAGAAGCCCCACACAAAGAAACATTATAATGAAACGATCAAAAGTCAAAGACATGGAGATAATCTGGAAAGCAGCATGAGAAAAGCAATTTTCACATATAAGGAGATTTTACCCTGGCGTGTCAGTCTGCGGACTGAAGGGTCATGGGTTTAATTCCCATTCAAGAGAACATACCTGGGGTCGCAGGATTGATCCCTAGACCATTTGGGAGGCAACCGATCAATATGTCTCTCTCACATTAATGTTTCTCCCCTGCCCCGCGCCCCCCCCCCCGCCTCACACACATACCTCCCTCCTTCTCTCCCTTCCACTCTATCTAAAAATCGATGGAAAAGTATTCTTGGTGCCTAGCCAGTGTGGCTTAGTGGATTGAACATCATCCCATGGTCTGAGAGGTCCCAGTTTGATTTCTGGGCTCAATCCCCAGTAGGGGGTGTGTAGGAAGGAGGCAGCCAATCGATACAGCTCTCTCACATCGATGTTTCTATCTCCCTCTCTAAAAAAAAAGTATCCTCGGGTGAGGATTAACAACAACAACAAAGAGTATCAGCAGATTTCTAAGCAGAAACCTTGCAGTCCAGAATGGAAAGGTATATTCAGTGTACTAAAAAAAAAACCCTGCCAAACAAAAGAAAAAAATTTTAAAAAGAAAGGAAAAAAAACAACCCTGCCAACAAGGAATACTCTATCTGTCAAGACTCTCCTTTAAAAATAAAGGAGAAAAAGATATCTTGCCCTGGCCAGTTTTGCTTAGCAGTTAAAGCACTAGCCTGTGGACCAAAGAGTCATGGGTTTGATTCCAGTCAAGGGCACATACCTCAGTTGCCAATCAGTCCCCAGCCCTGGTTGGGGTCATGCAGGAGGGAACCAATCGATTTGTCTCTCTCACATCAATGTTTCTTTCTCTCTCTCTCTCTCCTCTTCTATCTGCAAATCAATGGAAGAATATCCTTGGCTGAGGATTAAAAAAAAAAAAAAGAAATAGGTATCTTCCCAGGTAAACAAAAACTGAAGAAATTCATCACCACTAGACCTGCCTGATAAGAATATTAAAGGGAGCCCCAGCCAGTGTGGCTCAGTTGGTTGGATCGTCATCCCATACACCAAACAGTTGTGGGTTTGATTCCCAGCCAGGGCATGTACAGGAGGCAACCAATCCATATTTGCTTTCACATTGCTGTTTCCCTCTTTCTTTCTCTCTCCCTTCTTCTCCCTCTAAAATCAATAAACATATCTTCAGGTGAGGATAAAAATAATAAATAAATAAATAGAAATGACCTTATTAAAAAAAAGTAAGCCCTGGCCGGTTTGGCTCAGCAGTTAGAGCACCAGCCTGCGGCCCAGAGAGACCCGGGTTCGGTTCCTGCTAAGGGCATGTACCTCGGTTGCAGTTTATCCCCGGCCCTGGTTGGGTCTTGCGGGCGGCAACCACTTGATGTGTACCTTTCACGTCGATGTTTCTCTCTCCCTCCCTCCCACTCTATCTGAACAAAAAATGAAAAACTGTCCTCGGGTGAGGATAAAAAAACAAAACAAAAACAAAACAAAACATAAAGCTTTCTGATAAAGGTAAACATATAGATAAACACAGAATCCTGTAATGCTATAATGGTGGTGTGTAGATCACGTTTAATTTTGGTATATATTTTATAAGGTAAATGTATAAAATATAACTACTGAACTATGTTAATAGATACAAAGTAGAAAAAGATATAATATAGGACATCAATAACAAAATGAGAAGGGAGATGCAAATTAGTAGATTTTTGTTGTTGTTAATCCTCACCCGAGGATATTTTTTCCACTGATTTTTAGAGAGAGTGGGAGAGAGCGAGAGGGAGAGAGAAAAAGAGAAAAACATCAATGTGAGAGAGATACATCAATTAGTTGCCTTCCAGGTGTGCCCTTGACTGGAAATTAAACCCATGGCCCTTCAGTACTCAGGCCAAAGCTCTAAACACTGAGCCACACCAGCCAGGGCTACAGTAGTTGGCTTTTTTTAAATCCTCACCAGAGGAAATTTTTCCATTTTTGTTCAGATAGAGTGGGAAGGAGAGAGAGAGAGAGAGAAACATCAATGTGAAAGGAACACATTGAGTGGCCACTTCCTGCATAACCCCAACTGGGGCCAGGGACAAACTGTTGTCAAGGTACGTGCCCTTAGCGGGAACCGAACCTAGGTCTCTCTGGACCATGGGTGGAGGCTCTAACTGCTGAACCAAATTGGCCAGGGCTAGAGTAGTTTTTGTATGCAATTGCAGTTGTTATCAGTTTTTTTCAATTATTTTTTTTTGTAATTTCAGCTGTTAACAGTTTAAAATAGATTGTTATAACTGTAATATATTATATGTAATCACAGGGTAACCACAAAGAAAATACCAATAGAAAACAGACAAAAGATGTAAAAGAACTCAAGGCACATCATCATACACACACACACACACACACACACACACACACACACACACACACATTAAATAAACAAAACCCAAAGAAGGCTAGAGATAGAAATAGGGACAAAATAATTACAAGATATACCACATGGCCTGGCCGTTGTGGCTCAGTGGTTGAGTGTCCACCAATGCACCAAGAGGTCACTGATTTGATTCCTGGTCATGACACATGCCCAGGTTTGGGCCAAATCCCCTGTGGGAGGCATGTACAAGGTGGTCAATCGATGTTCTCTCTCATTGATGTCCCTAACTCTCTCTCCTTCTCCCTTCCTCTCTCTTCAAAATCAATAAAGAAAAAAATAAAAAAAGACATACTACAATTAGCAAAATGGCAACAGTAAGTCCTCTTTATCAGTAATTACTTTATTATTTTTATTTTTATTGTATTTTTTTATCCTCACCTGAGGATATTTTTCAATATTTTGTTCAGATAGAGTGGGAGGGAGAGAGAGAGAGAGAGAAACATCAACGTGAAAGGGACACATCTAGTGGCTGCCACCCACACAACCCAACTAGGGCCGGGGACAAACTGCAACCGAGGTACGTGCCCTTAGCGGGAACCGAACCCGGGTCTCTCCAGACCGCAGGCCAACACT